CTTGATCTACCTGAATATGCCTATGTACCTATGTGTATATGTATAACTACATGTATATGTGTGTATGTATATGCATACGTGTATACACATTTATATTTAAATATATACAAATTCACTTTTTCATGGAACAAGGGCTTATTTTCATTGACTGACTGTTCAGTATTACAAGGGTTTCTCAGCAAGAGTCTGTTTCTTAAAGACCAGCCACTCTAAGTCTGTGTGTATGTGTGTGTGTGTGTGTGTGTGTGTGTGTGTATCACCCACACTATCACAATACAAATTAGACAAAATAGATGCTTAATGGTGTAATTCACTTTACAATGGCACTATTATTACAGCGTTACTCTATTTTCATTACTACTGCATATTTGAATCAGCTTCCAACATGTTTGAGTGCAGAAATAAAACCCAATCACAGTGCCAATTAGTTCTATAAAAGTCATGTAGTATATCAAAACTAAAGCATTTCCCAGCAGCCCACAAAGACAGGATTCAACTCTTGGTTCACTTCTTCTAGCTTGCTATGCTTCCACCCCTACTATACTTTGACCTATCCTAGGCTAATTACAAGCTAAAATCAATAAAAGAGCCTTAGCAAGTTCTCTAAGAAAGGATATAATAATCCATCAGCACACCCTTACCTTGTGCTAGCATTATTTTCCTGGGTTTACCCAATACCATTGTGTACCAATAACTACTCTTTCTCATGCTGCTCTCTCATCAGCTCAAATTCTGTAACAGCAGAGCAATTTCAAGCAGGTTGTGAGACTCTGAGAGTATTACTTGCAAAGTGCATGTAAATTATTAGATTACATTACAAGTGAAAGGCTCAGCAGTGGGTCACCATAGTGGAGCATTAATGTAGAACAAGTTGAATGGAACCCTTGCAGACAAGCTTCTTCAACATGATTTTTTTGGCAGCAAGGAGAAAGTGAGTACAAAGGTAGGGAGGGCGAGGAACGATGGGCTGCTGCAAAATGAGGTGTGAGAGAACATAGCAGCACAGTGGAGAGAGCTCCCCCAGCCACAGTGGCTAAAGGGGGCAGCCAGTGGGTACCACAGGAGTAGTGGGGGCAGGATGGAAGGTGGCAGCCAGACATGGGCCCTCCTCTATCTCAGCTCAAGGGATGGGGTATAACCTCAGGGAAGTCAACAAGTAGCTGATGGGGTTGAACTCAAGCGTCTGTCCTCACTTGGCAGGATCCATCCTGTGGCAGCTGAGTTGAGGGACTACAGCAGGATGCAGTCCAGGAAAGAAAACTGGCAGTAAAAGGAAAGGATTTAAGACTTTGAAGCACTGGAACTCCTGCTTATTTCACAGAGAAACCAAGGAAGAATGCTCTAAGCAATGAGCTGAAGACCTGAGCATATGTTCCATCACCACCACCAAGTGCTCCATCATGACCACCACGTGCTCCATCATCACCACCATGTGCTTCATCATTACCACCACGTGCTCCATCATCACCATGTGCTGCTTCATCATTACCACCACGTGCTCCATCATCACCACCATGTGCTTCATCATTACCACCACGTGCTCCATCATCACCACCATGTGCTTCATCATTACCACCACGTGCTCCATCATCACCACCATGTGCTTCATCATTACCACCACGTGCTCCATCATCACCACCATGTGCTTCATCATTACCACCACGTGCTCCATCATCACCACCATGTGCTTCATCATTACCACCACGTGCTCCATCATCACCACCATGTGCTTCATCATTACCACCACGTGCTCCATCATCACCACCATGTGCTTCATCATTACCACCACGTGCTCCATCATCACCACCATGTGCTTCATCATTACCACCACGTGCTCCATCATCACCACCATGTGCTTCATCATTACCACCACGTGCTCCATCATCACCACCATGTGCTTCATCATTACCACCACGTGCTCCATCATCACCACCATGTGCTTCATCATTACCACCACGTGCTCCATCATCACCACCATGTGCTTCATCATTACCACCACGTGCTCCATCATCACCACCATGTGCTTCATCATTACCACCACGTGCTCCATCATCACCACCATGTGCTTCATCATTACCACCACGTGCTCCATCATCACCACCATGTGCTTCATCATTACCACCACGTGCTCCATCATCACCACCATGTGCTTCATCATTACCACCACGTGCTCCATCATCACCACCATGTGCTTCATCATTACCACCACGTGCTCCATCATCACCACCATGTGCTTCATCATTACCACCACGTGCTCCATCATCACCACCATGTGCTCCATCATCACCATCACATGCTCCATCATCACCACCACGTGCTCCATCATCACCATCACATGCTCCATCATCACCATCACATGCTCCATCATCAACACCGTCACTGGAGCCACACTTGATGTGTGCTAGGCATCCTGCCAGGGGCGGCAACATGCAGAATCCTGGTATTCTCTCACCCACCTTGGGAAAGTCAGCACTACCATCATCCCCAATTTCCAGGTGTTGAAAGAAATAGACTGAGGGTTAATGACCTTACGTAAGGTCACACAGCAGACCTGGGCCTCTGGCCTAGGTCTGTCTCACTCACGGCAAGTTTGTAACAACCATGCATGCTGTCTCCCAACACATCCAGCTTTGGTCTGAGTGCTCAAGCCTGGAACAGGCCTGAACCTGCCACTGAGAGGAGGCATGATGGATCCAAGGCAAACAGAAGGGGGATGAACAAGGGCAGATGGGTCCAAACCCAAGGCCCAGTTAGAAGAATAAGCAGGTAGAAGCTGTGTTTGCAGAGTTGGGAAGTGTAGAGCTGGATCTACTGAGGAAGCAAACAGCCTTGCAGAGCAATGTGGGAGAGATTATCTGCACAGCTAATGAGCACCTACTTTCTGCAAGGCACTGTGCAGGAGTGAGAGAGTAATTCCTGGTGCTGGTCTCCTGGGGGTGACTAGACTCCTACCCAGGAAAGAACGCTATAAGACAACGCAAAGGAACCTGGCAAAAGAGGAGGTTACATGCTGATTGAATGAGCAAGGTCCACAGACTGACTACTGTAAAAGACAGGGTCATGGGAACTGCAGAAGGAAGAGGATGCATCCTATCTAGAGCTAAAATGATTGTAGGATTTAAATAAGCAAAGAGAAATTGGGACATAACAAACAAGGGAGAGTGGGTGGGGGAGGGAAGGAGGATAGAATTAAGTCACACAAAAGGAATAGGGGTGAAAAAGGCCATGCCAAGATACACTTAGAGGATAACCATCAGAAGTATCCCAGACAGTAGGCTACATTGAGAAACAACACCACTAGAATGTAAGATCCAGGAAGGCAGGGCTCTGACCTCTCCTGTTTGCTGCTTTATCCCCAGAGACTAGCACAGTGCCTGGCACATAGAAGGTGCTCAACAAATATTTGTTGAATGAAAGAATGCCATCTCTTGCTTTTACACAATGACTTTAACTCTAGGCAAAGGGGATCCCAGAATTTACATTCTAAGCCAGTCTAGGCAGAATCATGCCTAAATGTAATAGTATATTAATGAGCCTGTGCTAAAAGTGGCATAAAGATAACGTATGATTACAAATAAGTATTTACATTGTTTTCCCTGCCCTACTCCCTCCCTGGTGGAGCACCTAGGGTTCAACATCAGTTATTGTGGAAACCCTCTCTCACCCCCGCTCCCACCACAGGGCCATGCCCTGCAGAAAGGTGGCTTCTACCTCATGCCCACGACAGGGTTTTTCAAACTGCAGGAGCAGCCCCAAAACAGATCATAAAAAATAAGGTTGGTGGCTGTGACTTATATTTTGTCTTTAAATAATACAACAAAAATTATAGTGTATCACAAGTAAAGCTTAAATATTTTCTGTGAAAACTATTTTGTGTGTGTGTGTGTGCGCGCGCAATGGCTCACAATGCAGTATATTTCCTTATTGTAGGTCACAGCATAAACACCTGAAGACAATGCCCTAGAGGGGCAAGAAATTCCAATTTGGGGGCACTCCTTTTCACATTCCAGCTGAATGACCCTGTCTCCCTGGCTGAGGGTGATCATCAGAGGTAATACTCTTCAGGCCAGTAAGCTTGGTCCACCCTGAAATGTCGAAAAATTCCATGCAACATAACTTCAGAATCAGTTCCTTCAAGGTATCCCCAGTTTTACAACACACAAACAATGTTATTTTGAAATAAAAATTTATTTTTTTCTAGTTACAAAAATAATACATGCATACTGTAGGAAACAATGAAATACAGAAGAGCACAAAGGAAAAAAAACTTGTAAATGATCCCACCATCCAGAGACGACCACTTTATAACTTTATCATTTAGGTATATGTGGTTCCATATGTTAGTATGTGTATATGTGCGCATGTGTCTACATGCACACATATACACATATAAATACACATACATATACACATACACACACATATACACATACACACACTATAGTTTTCACAAAGAGGATACCATTCTGTGCACAATACTGCGGAAGCTGTGACTTTTCACTAAGCAATAGATCATAAACATTTCCCCCAGTTAAGAAATATTTTTCTAGCACAATATGATTTTCACTGGCCATGTAGTATTCCATTTGCAGACTTGCTCTTGACATCTCATAAAAGGCACAACCTTAAACTGGCTGCCTTGCAGGAGGACTGCTGCTGAGATCCATCCTCCCCCACCACCCTCCACCCTCCCTGTCCCAGCTGCGTCTAGCTCCCACAAGCACTGAGTACAAGATGCTCAGCTCCATATCCTGTCCTTTACTCTCCACTAAGCCAGACCGTGATGCGCAGGCACTATTTTTATGCTTTAGAATGGCTTTACTGACACAGCCACAAGCTCCCTGGTTAATTTTTAATTAAAAATAAAAATGACCAGCGGGATTTTAAAAACTAACAATTACTGACAATGTTCCACTATTGATGAACAGCCAAAACACCTTGCGCTGACTCTCATACATATCCACTACCTAATGCTGGATTAACTCCTGTTCGTCTTAGTATCCTCGGGGGCTTTTCCTGGGAGACGGGAACTTGATGTTGTAGCTTATTGGAACCTGAGCATCCTGGCACAGCACAAAAGTGGAAGGAACTAATTATTAGGTAAGGAAGCAGAAGACTAGTGTTGCAGGCACAGCCTTGCTGCGTACTAGGAATGGGAGCTCACACAATTAGATCTCTAGGTATCGGTTTAGACAAGAGGCTAGGCCAGATGATTCATAGACCCCTTCTGGCTCTGACAGGCTTTATTCTAATAAAACATGAGTCGTGGCAGCACCGTATTTCTGTATCTATCTCTGTCTATTATCTATTATCATATAGATAGAGTAAGCACTACAAATCTAACTTACACCCCCAAGCTCCAGATGAGAAATTTCAAGAGCCCTTTCAGAGTAGCATCAGCTTCCTCCCTGATCCTCTGCAGGGCCTCAAGGAAGTTGCAGAACCTCCATGATGGTCAACCTTCATCCTTTACACTGTGAAGGTTTACATCTTCTGGGCGGACAGCCCGGCCTATAGAAACTGTCCACTCTTTACATAACCGTGTTCATCAGAAGGGGCCCGTGAGCGCCAGAAATGGTAACACACACCTCTGGCAATTTCTCACTTGTCATCACCTGTCAACTAACACGGTCACCAAAAGAAGAATCATTTTTGATTATCGGAGTATTTCATTTGCCTCTGCTTTCCCAATGCTTCATTACCTGGACAATTGAGAGTTATGGGCAGTTCACCCTCCCTGTTGCCCTGTCCTTCCAGACATCATGGCCCCATCACACAAATGTTCCTAGGACTACATGCTATATGGTTACTGTGGCCTTCTTACCATGTGCTGGGTTTATTACTGTGCAGTGAAAACGAAAAGCAAGGCAGTTTACTGAAGAGTTTTTACACTTGCTAAATATATCTTGTGTCTTCTGTGATCTGTATGTTGAAAATCCATTAACTTCTATACAGTGGCTCCTTCCCCATGACTGGCATTGATCGTATGGGATGATGGAAGCCTCTTTGCTTCTGGAGGGCAGACTCACATCTGACTGTCTTTTCTCTGTCTGTGTCCATTTCTTCAGGTTTCTTTAAAACTATTTGGAAGAGTCAATAAACATGCTGATTTCTTTCACACACTAGGAAGCAGATCACCATGCCCTTCAGCCCTCGTCCGGTTCTGTTTTCCCAAGTATTCCCTTACCTGCCTTTGTCAATTGGCATTCTCGACAAGTTCATCACAACTTCTCAAAGTGCTAACTTTCCCTCTTTCCATTGCCCTTGTTAAAGATAATTTAAAATTAGAAAGGCACATTCCCAGACAGTTCAGAGTCAATTCTAATTTCATTTTCTTTTTTGCACGGAAGGCTCTTTTCCCTCTAAAGATCCCCTTCCTTCATTCACAGCCTCCCCCCTCCCCAGCCCCAGACAGGCATTCTGAATTTCTGTATGCACTGCTCCATTCCCCTATTTCACCATGCTTATCTTTTCCCCAAAATACTTCACCCAGCGAAACACACTTTAGCTTGTGGTTCTCCTTCCTTCACTCCACTTCTGAGAGAAATGTCTGTGTCTGGAGATTGTAAAGTCACCTTCAGGAAAGAGGCATACAGTGGCTGTCAATTAATCAGGATAAGACAGAAAAAATTACATCGTGTGCAGCTCTGCTTCTCAGTACATGCAGTTATACTTTGGGGATCAAAAGGATTTCTCCCAACACAACCTAAAATTCATATTTATACCTTTTGTTTTGCTATAACTAATTCTCTACCTAGCAGCACAATTAATGTTCTGGATTATTTAAAACAGTGATTACCATACCTCATTATAAATTTAAGTGTTGGTCCCTCATTTCTCCCCCCAACCCCCCTTCTGTTTTCACCTCTATTCTTCATAACCTGCCTATTTATCCTTGGTGGCATTCTTTGCTTATAAAGTAAGTCAAGTGATTTCAGATCCTGTAGTTTTTATTCCCACATCTAGTTTGACATATAGATTTTAAGCCAGCTTATTTTCCCCCATTAACCACAGACCCAAATGTCACCATTCTTATCACGTATACAATTCCATCAAGTTTTGGAGTGTCGTTTATACACAATTTTATTTCTTCTTACTCCTTTCACACACGCCTACCACTTAACGTACAGCAACTTCGCTGCATTTATATTTCATAAACTTCATCAGTATTCAGCCAAATTCTCCCGCGAAGTAAGCCAGGTATTTTTAACAGTGTGCTACCTCTTTCACAGGCTTGAGGGTCCCAGACTAAGTGGCAGCCTTCCTTGTACCCCAAAGAGTTTCATCTATTATGGTCTGGACCTAGGAACTTCCTGATTTCAAAAAAACCTTTCAGATAGTTCATAATCAAACCTCAAATGCCCAATCCCACTATTAGAGATGGCGTAAGGCTCACGGAGCTTCAGAGAACACCGCCCCGGGACAGCCACTACCCAGGCCGGCCTGGAGTCCTCCAGCCCTTTCCAGGATGTGGGACACCTGCACTCTCTGCTGTCAGGGGGACACTGCAAAGGGCTCCCCAGCTGGCCGCCAGGGCCTCGGCTCTGTGGACAAGATAATCACCAGGAAATCACAGCGCCCCGCGTTGTCCATGTGCCACAGCACATAATGTGATAAGACAGTTTGCAATAATGACGCGTCAGGTAAGGCCATTAACATCTGTTGGGGGGTGGAAAAACTCTTCCATCAGCTCAAGGGAATTGTTACCTATAATTCCTGTTAACATGAGCATGCAAAAACCGGAGCACCAAGTGAGCCTGCCTAACCCATGGCTCTGGCACTTGGATTCCTCATCATGCCGCGCCCCCTGCTTCTCAGGATGTCTTTAGAAAATCTCCTGGGTGCTTTTACTACAAAAGCAAAAAATAAATAAGTAATTGGGATGTCACAAAAGCACAGCAAGTCTCCCCCAAGCTGAATTCCCAACACTATGACATCTAAGGTATCAAAAGGCAACTGCAGACTGCCGTTAAGTTGGGTCCCAGACTAAGTGGCACCCTTCCTTGTACCCCAAAGAGTTTCATCTGTTATGGTCTGGACCTAGGAACTTCCTCATGAAGTTCAAGTGGGGCGGCCTGGGAAAGCCCGCCTCTGCTGGTGTGGTCCCAGGGATGCTCCTGCAGATAGCAAAGGCCTCGGCTCAGAAAAAGAGTTCCTTTGGGGGGAATCTCAGTGCTCTTTATTGATGTTCTTGAAAGTCTTCCTTCTAACCCTGGAGTTTCCTATTCTTCCAGATTTATGAATCCTTTACCAAAGACACACCTTGAACATATCTGAGCAAAAGGCAACATTAGTTGGCATTTCTATCTACGATCATACAGGGGAGTAGTTACAAAATGCTACTATGTTACAGTGCATAACTTATTTGTGACTACAATAGCCTCCCTGAATATCGGAGAACGATTTTACATCCTCTACAACTCCAGAGAAAAAATCATGGCTCCAGACTTGGGTTGACATTTTCCCATAAAATAAAAACCTCAATTAATCAGAACCAAATAATTGAACTGAATTTCTATTTTGCTTCTTGCAACCTGGAAAATAAGAGAGACAAATAACAAAACATACCGCTATCAAAGGTTTAAAAAATACAGTTTTCAATATGGAGTCAGGACAGATCTAGTGCAATCTCAGATTCCTTCCCTACTTACAGTTTCTACAATGTACAAGGAGAATTCATCCTCCGAACAGTGGCCCTGTGGCACCAGAAGATCCTCAAACCTCAGAGAAAGATTTGGTTACATCCTCAATGTTCTTTTTAGGGTAGAAAATGGGATCTGCATATTTAAAAACTATATTCAATAAGAAAAAGACCAAAACATTTCTGGTTAATCTGTTTGTAAAATAAAAAATCAGTAATATCTTGGTGCCCGTATAGAAAAATCATGGTTTACTGAATATTGATCAACACTCGAACACTGATTATCTGAGGACTTTTTTTGAGACATGAATTCAAAATGACTCAATTTTATTTTTCTTAACATAAAGCTTAATAAGATGGGTGAAAAATTTAACAGCTCATTTCCAAACTAACACTTCCCATCATGTAGAAGAAAAAAAATTTTTTAAATCGTATAGAAAAATCATGGTTTACTGAATATTGATCAACACTCGAACACTGATTATCTGAGGACTTTTTTTGAGGCATGAATTCAAAATGACTCAATTTTATTTTTCTTAACATAAAGCTTAATAAGATGGGTGAAAAATTTAACAGCTCATTTCCAAACTAACACTTCCCATCATGTAGAAGAAGAAAAAATTTTTTAATGATTAAAGAGAGAGATCCTAGATTCCCAGCAAGGAAGACAGTCTTCATATTCACAAGGGCATTCCAGATTCTAGGTAGGGGCCTAGACGCAAGGCCTTCACAGCAGCCCCCTCTTGCTCTGGAAAACTCATCCCTGATCTGGAGTGAACGGGTCAGGAATCTCCTTGAGGCAGTGCGTGATGTCTACCTCACAGTCCCTTCACGTTGGCTCATAGAAGACAAAGAGGGTAAAGCGGGTGAGCTGCAGGAAACGTCATATGAGGAGAGCTGCATTTTCTATAAAAAAGTTTTGGCATTTCGGGCAGTCACATTACGACTCTCCCCAGACACCTGAAATATAGTTACGCATTTTGCTTCTACAGACACCGAAGTACATATTTAAGCTAAGAAGCACAGCTCGTCAAGTAGACTCGAAGGATGGAGGGGACAGAAAGAGTACACTCAGGTAAAGCGCAGATGCTGTAGAGAACATACCACAGAATTCCCCGTGACACCCAACTCAGTCTGTCCTCCCGACATCACACCACACCTTCCTAAAGGCAAAAATGGGAGAACTGTCTCCCCAACATGGAAGAAAAGCGCGCATCTGAACTCAGAAGTGACAAGTGTGTGGCGCAAGGAGTCCCAGGGGCTTGTCTCGGGTGTTCCAGAGGTCAGCTCTGGTAGGCTTGCTTCCCAAAGGGATTCAGTTGTCACCAAAACTCCTTAGAACATTTTCAACCAGAGGCACAACTATCGCTGTGAACATTCTGGGACCTGCCTGCATCGCATTTAGGAGTCTAGTAGGGAACCGGCACCTCTGCCGCCTGGAAAACTCGAGCTTAGGGGTCTCATGGTCAGGGGTTCCCACACAGGCCCCATATTTCAGTACCAGAAATAGAGACATTTCCTAAAGCCAAGGGCTCCTCATAATGCCAGGAGGCTTTGGGAAATTCCAGCAGGTGACTAACATAAAAAGAGTCTGCTCTAAATGTTTATAGCCATGAGGATTTGACTTCTGGATTAATAATTCAATTATTTTTTTTTAAGAAATAAGGGGAAGCAACAAAAAAGGCTATCATAAATATCATCAAATGCATTTTCTAAAATTATTCTATTACATTTTAGAGGGTGTAATTATAACTGTTTTTATGAGCAATTTACTGGAAAATTAAAGTCCCTTGGTTTAAAAAATAATTATTCTATCCCTCTGGCAAAGGATTTTATCCCAGCCAGCATCTCTTTTAAACTATGGGGCCTCATTTGTTCACTGTGGAGAGCTGGGTCCATGTAAGAAAAGTTGACCTGAGAATCAATCTCTAGAGAGGGGTCTAAATTGCCAGGCAAGAGCACCTACCAGAAAGTGAATCAGCTGAGACTGAAGGGGTGAGTGGAGGCAAAACACTTTCAAAGTCAAAGACTTATGTGGTTCTAGAATTCCTCGGGGCTATAGGCCTTGTTAACTGATTTTAAATCAATTTAAACTGAGCTTCCAGGGGATTCGATCTCAACCCAACTGAGCTTTTCAGTGTTAATCCCATCTTTTGGTTTCGATTTTTCCCTTAGGTTGGCCTGCCCTAAAAGCATCCAACCTTCAGCACTAGCGTTCCAACCCAACCGTGTGGCACCCACCCGCTGTGAGGATAACTCCAGTGAAGTAAAATATGTAAGCTTCTGGCATGCATATAATAAGGAGATTCTGGAAAAGGGTTTTTAACAACAGTTATGTCACAATGCTCATGGCTCCCTGAAGCCCCTGAAAAGCCTTGTTAAATTAAAGATTCGCTGTGGTTTTTTCTGCTTCATTCTTACTTCCCATGTTGCTTCTTGCCGTTCTTTTTTTCCCTTTCATTTTGTCAAGATGGAACTCCATGACACCAGCCAACATGTATACCACCTAGAAAACGGGGCAGTTTTCATGAAAACTGCTAACATTCCCTGCCCAGTTGTTAGGGAAGAGAGAGGTCGAAACCTCACATTACAAAGTCACACATAGAATTTTGGAAGCTCAGGCACAAACCATACACAGCCAATTCACACATGGATTCCCAGGAGTTCGGAATTTAGCAACAGCTTTAAGTCTACCTAGGTAATGTCTCATGAGGTCACCTCAATGTCATGAGACTCCAGACCACAATCTCTGTGGCCTTCAAACACTGGCTGGAGGATGCTAACCCTGCAACCTCTCAGGAAGGCGTCCCCCAAGTTGGAAAGCTTCCCACTTCACCCAATGCCAAGAACTCCACTCAACCATCCTTGAGGCTGAAAATGCTAATTATAAGGTGGCGATGTTTGCTTTTCCTCTGAGCTGTGTGCCTTTATGTTTTAAGTATTATAAAGGCATAATCACCTAGTGTGTAGGTTAATTTCTTTCCGATATTGTAATTTATGCGACATTAATACTGGATGCCAGCTCCAATTTTCTTGCTGCTTACACTCTGGGAGCCGACTTGCATATTCTGCCAACTCCATTACATCATCTGAAAACCCAAACATTTCCCGTTTTTAAACCACTCTCAACTACCAGGCACACTTACACATTCACTCTTTTTCGTCCTAGCTCACACACAAAGATTGGTACCCCTGAGGAGCAGGCGCTACGTCTGAGGTTAGAGTCTGCAAATGCACATCATTTCTGGAAGCTATTACTACTGCTGTGTTAGCTAAAGGATGCCTCCATCTCTGACCTTCCTTTTTCCATTCAGACTGTTATATAACCTAGTGCCTGCGTGCAGGATGTGAGTTGAGTGTTTGGGCCTTACCCCTCTCCCTCCTGTCATGAAATCTCCTGAGGAATGGACAAGGGGTTGCTTCACAGAGGAGTAGGGACAAAGGTCAGCAGGTCAGCAGGTCAGCTGCACCTCTTCCTTGTCCCTCTCCCCTTTTTGCTGAGCCTAGGGGGCTGGTGGTACTGAATGCCCCAGCGTTATATAATTTGCAAGAACAGCAAGTTACGGATTTGCTAGTTGGTTCTGCAGCCTGCCACCCTGATCTCTTGCAAGAACACCTTCTGGAAAGAATGACACCTGAAGATGCTAATAACAAACTTGGGGGGAGGTAGGGGGGAGGGGCGGTTTAAGACGGAGGGGGAGTGGCAGCTCAAACCAGAAATTAGTGTGGCCCCCTAAATAATATATCTCCCCTTCCAAAAAAAATAAAGCAGCCTCAGAAACACATGAAGGGGATTTTCTCCAGTGTTTCTGATTAACCCTGTTACATAACCCGCTCGCATTCCAAATCCACCGTCCCAGGGTCTAAATATACTCTTTGCAGCCAAAAGCTTGCCACACACAAACTCACCGAGGTGGCCTGAGGTCCGGAGGTCCGGGCCCCCAGCCTTGATCCCTCTCCCTTCACTCGCGGCCCTCGCTGCGCCCACCCCTCCCGCTCCAACCCCGGTTTTCGCCCACCCTCCCGCTCCAAGGCGGCTCGGTGTGTTCACTCTTCGGAAATCGCCTTTAATTAAATGTTTTTCGCGTGTGTCATCCTGATGGCTTTTACTGTACTCGAATTCCGTGAATGGAAAAGCGCCCGGACAGGGGGTGTGGCCAAGGT